ATTATTCTCTTGCTACAAAGCACTAACGAAAGTGTCTTCAATTTTTAATATCATGTGGTTGTCAGAGGGTGCTTACTGGATGCTCGGTAATTCATTAGCTTTACTGTTGACTATTGCTTAACCAAACATGATAATTTGGGAAATAAAACAAAGTGGTGAATAGATAGATGAAAAGAGACAATAAAAAAAACTTCATGTCCTTTACACATTTGTAGGGGATTTAGATTTTAACATTTTAAATACCATATTAAGCTAGGCATTTGCAACTGTTAAGAATTGAATCAATAGCTCTGCCTACAATTGTAGTCATTGAATTTTTACTTCATTGCGAATATGGCTTAATTGGCTTAATTCCAGCCATTAGCTAGTAATTTCTTAGCATGAAGATGTTACAGGCCAGTATCACACTTAAGAGTCCTTGCACACTTTAAAATTATAATCAATCTGTCCTATGACACAAGTGTTATCCTTTTACTATCTATATCCAACTTCATATGTTAGCTTATAAGCATCATGAAAGGTTTTATTGCTTACCTTAACTCTACGTGAATTCAATGACTCCCTGAATGAGATAATGCTTCTGAACTTCTTTCAGTTATTTACTGCGGCTGCTGCAGTTGTCTAAAGAGCCCTGGAAGAGGACACAATCTCCACAGTGGGATGTGATCTAATGCAGAGGATCAAATCTAGCCATATATTAGCATAAACTTGAAGTTTTACTTTTTAAATTATTTTAAAAATTGTCTGGTGGTCCATTCAAGACTCTTTAAATCAGAGTTGGGGGAGGGAGGGGAGTAGGTATCAGTATTATTTAAAAGCATTCTGGGTGATTCTAACGTGCAGCCAGAGCTGAGAACCACAATCTGGAACTAGAGATTAAGCGATGCTTTAAGAGATGTGTTACAGAGAAACTAGTACTAACTAAAGCTTCCTCTATGATCTGATCAGAAAAATAAAATTTTAAGAAATATTTTTAAAAAAAAATCCTTCAGAGAAATTCAAGAATTTATTAGGATCAAATCATATAGTTCTGAAATTTCTACTTTGTAGATTTTCTAGAAAGTAACTGCTTTGGATGGAGAGTTTCTCATACTTCTTTATTACAATCTTCAGGAGAAATTTAGAGCTATCTAAGTGGACAGCAATCCTAGGCCTGTATAAGACATCGAATCTGACTTCTCCTCAAGTAGTAACTCGGTTGATAGATCAAATTGTCATAAATCCACATTACAATAGACGAAGAAAGGACAATGACATTGCCATGATGCATCTTGAATTGAAAGTGAATTACACAGGTAAAAGAAACCACTTTTAGTCATCTTATTTGCTCTTTAGTCATCTTTGAATTAATTCAAAATTAGATTTGAAGTATCAGTAGCAATGGATTAGTAGTCCATAAAAGCTGAATAATTTGTTACAGAAATCATTAAAATGCAAATGGAATTAAGGAATAGAGAAACAATATTAAATTTTATTTATCAAGGTGTTTAAATCCAACTTTCTAGAAAGGACTAAGAATAAAACTGTCAGATCCCTCTATAACAGTGAACTCAAAGGAGCAGCACAGAGAAATAGGTCATGGTATTATGCATGCTCTTTTTCTCATGTAAAAGAAAGGCAGGTGTCCATCTACCAAATATGCCAGAGTAAGACATAAACTGAGAGAAGAGCATATGTTCTAAGGGTAAAGTGAGTAAAAAATTAAGTTATTGATAAAAAGGAAGGGTTTAAAGGAGATTCAAAAATATATATCATTAGAGTAGTAAGTGAAGGACATCTTCCAAATGCTTGGAAAATGTGCAAGAAATCACCTGAGAAAGTGAATTTTATCCTGAAGGGCTCTGCTCAGTTCCAGCCTTTAGTCTGAAGTCTCTTCCAATGCCCAGTTGGGAGAAAGTGCTGCCATCTCTGTGCTCTCATGGGATTTGCTCTACACATGTATTACAGCACTTATCAAAGGCAGACTATTCCTATAGTTAGTAAATAGCCCGGTCCTTGAGGGTGCACTGTATCTTGTACATTTATGTGCTTACCCTGAGTCTTATTTGTAGTGGGTGCTTAATAAATGTCAGGTGGCCTGTAAATTGACACAGGAGGGCTTTAAAAGTCAGTGACCAGTGTTAATGCCCAAGTTTCTCTTAACTGATCCTGAAAAACAGCCTCACCAAGATTTTCACATAACTGGCACTACTTTCTATTGAGTACTGTGATTATTAATAATTAAATATGTGATTAACTCCAGAATCAAGACAGTGTTTACACTATAAATGAGTAATTAGGAGACTTCATAGAGGACCCTAAAAGGCTACCAGTGGTGCCTAATCCATTTTCAAAGAAGTGTGGCTCTGAAATGCCTCTTTCCTCCAAGATTGATGTCCAAAAATTGTTCAGGCAGGATAAAACAAAAATACAAGTTATTTAGATTAAATGTTGAAAATAACTGATTTTTAGAACTTGTTAGAAATGCATGTGTCTGTTCTTATTTTTTTGTTTGTTTGTTTTTCCAGATTATATACAACCTATTTGTTTACCAGAAGAAAATCAAGTTTTTCCTCCAGGAAAGAGTTGTTCTATTGCTGGCTGGGGGACAGTTGAATATCAAGGTAAATTATCAGACTCTAAAAAAAGAAAATGCTTACTAGTAAAAAGTGTGCTACTGCAGTATCCTGTGAATATTTTCAACATTTTTTGCAACTCTTACACTATAAAGATTTTTGCAATATCTCCTATAAGCACCATCAAGTTTATATCTTGCATATTTGTATGGATTTTTAAAAAATGTGTAGAGCATATTATAAAACTATAATCCTTTTGAAGGGGAATGTTAGTGTCTCCCAGACATCTAATTTTAGTATTATAAACACTCTGATATAGAGAAAAGATAAATCTATTAAAATGAATATGGGCCGGCCCGGTGGCGCACTGGATAGTGCGCCGCTTGGGAAGCGCGGTGGCGCTCCCGCCCAAGGGTTCGGATCCCACATACAGACCGGTTCCCGCTCACTGGCTGAGCGAGGCGCGGGAGCAACACCGAGGGTTGCAATCCCGTTGCCGGTCCCCGGTCCGGTACGGGGGCAACACTGAGGGTTGCGATCCGTTGCCGGACACGGAAAAAAGACAAAAGACAAAAAAATAAAATGAATATAACCAAAATTTACAAAAATTTATTTTTGTAAAGAACATAGATAAAGTCTTATTAAAAGTCAAATTTTTACCTGTTATAGTTTCCAAATCAACAAAACTATCTTTATTTATAATGTAAAGGCCTCACACTCACATTTTGCCTATTGACAAGACTCAGGTATGGCATGAGTCTTACACTGAGGACTATAAATTTATATTCCATTGACTCCCTCAGATTATTTAAAAGGATGTTTTCCAAACACAAAAATGATGCATATCAAAAATAACCAAACATGATTTTTTTTAAAGTATTTTTTAGTACTTCATACCCTCTAAATGTAATCACAAGGCCCATTTGTTATAGAATTCCTAATAGGAGTACCCCATCTAGGACATAGTTTTGACCACTCATTAATAATTAAGAAAAAAGGAAAGGCACTGTAGTTTGGTAGGAGGACCTGACCTCTGTAGTCACAATAAATTAGATATGATGTTGAAAGGTCATAATTATATTTAATATGAAAATGAACAAATTCTTGTGGCAAGGTGTAGGGTCTCTGTATCAAAGAACTCACAGCTAGAATATCCTTACTTTATGAGAGAGAGTTCTAAGTCAAATGCTTGCCTGATGATTCCGACAAGGGTTCTCCACAGCAATTACATTACACTGCTGAAAATGCCTCATGTCTGCTGCCTGCAAAGTGTACTGAAGTCAAAGACTGTATTTTCTTATAATTTCTCCACTTGAAAAATGTCATGATTTATTAAATTTGAAATTTAAAGAGTAAAAATGATTCCTAGATAGATATTTTGTCTTTCAGACTTCAAACTAAAAAATATTTTATGACCATAATATAGACTCTTCAAAAACAAATTATCCACTAACAAAATTTAAGACTCTTTATTCCATAAGAAATTTTGGTTTTTTGTTTGTTTTTTTAGAGCTGAGTAAACTTGACTCACATTTACTTATTGTTACTAAAGATACATGTTTAATTAACTTAAGAAAGTCTCTAAGAGTAGTATGGATCCAGGAAAAAAAACTGTACCTGAGATCAATTTCATTTAGGAGTAAAGATCCAGGCCATGTTTAAACACTTCTTGGGTGATGGCAATTTCAATGAATTTAATAAACTTTGCCTTATGATTTCCATGTACTTAATTTCATAAAATACAACTTACATCTTTTGAGTATATCATACTAATTAATTAACTGGGAAAGCCATGAACATATTGTTCACTAGGGAGAAATGGGATGATATTAGTTGGTTAAAATAAGGCAATTATTATACAAAATAACTTTTATGGAATTATTATGTATGTTTGTGTATGGGTGTGCGTGTGTGTGTGTAGTCTCAATTATCCTTGTAGCAACTCACATTGACAATCAATATTAAATGTAAGGACACTACTCAAATTTTCCTTTACCAGAGTTTTATCATCTGCCCCAACAAACATTTTATTCTTTAACAAGCAGCAAAAGTGGCTTTGGTTTTCATTATAAAACTAAAGTCTACCAGCTCCTCCTTGATTTTCATGGGATGGATGACACTAACATGGTGTGCTTTCTTCTTTTCAACCTCTTCAATTCATTTTCTTGACTTAAAGTCCATTTTCAAACTTCGAAAGTCATCCACTGCTATGCTGTTGGATTTCTGGCACCAGCTGGAAATAACTATTTGTGCATATCTTCTCCCATCTCCATGCTCACTGTCACGCTGGTATCCTGAAGTTGGCCATGGTGAGAGTGTTTACACCAGGCAAATGTGAAGAAGACACATTGGGGCTTTTTTTTCTGGACAGCCAATTGGTACACATTTACCAACATACCACTGAGTCATATACATATGCTGTCTTGCACTTAAATTACACATACACAAACACACACACACACACTTGTTTCCTCAGTTTTATTAGTGCATGGATTAAACTTAGCTGGAAATGATGTCACATGCAACAACACTGGCTGTCAAATGTACTAACTTATCCTCAACCTTCTGCCTCTCTTGAGGAACCAAATAGAATTGTTAATTATGAGAAAGTACCTATCATGTACCTTTCCTGGGGCACTAGACACCTGCTTGTTTCACATCTCTTGGGATTAGTATTTCATTAAACAAGGATTCATACTTCCAGTGAATTAGTCATTTTATAAAAAGAATGGAAATACACTCTGCTAAAAAATATGCCTCCTTTTTCTTCACCTGCGTGCAGATGACAAGCTGATTGCCCCTAGATCAAGACACATTTGCGCTTTGTCCTCTGCTCAGAGTGCACCTGCTCATTCACATAGCACCACAAAGAAGCTGAATGCCGTTACACCCAGCAGAAGAAGCGCCTTCTCAGGTGCCAAATGAAAAGGACTTCTGATTTCATTCATTTCCATGAATGAAACTTTTTGTGTTGGTGGGCATTTTACTGTAACTGTTTAAAATTACTGAAGATGCCTAATGACCACCTAGCCCAATACACCACTCCTACTAGCCCTTGGGAAAGAATGCTTTACTGTTATCCATCTGGCAGAATCCACAGTTGGGCTTTATTATGTGCTTTAAAGTGCCCAGATTAGTATTCAGTTCCATTACATATACATACAGTACTTGATAATGACAGTGGTATGTTGGAATAAATAAGACTGATAGTGGTTCATTCAAGAATGCATGTTGAACACTCTGTCTGGCTGGTCACATTATCCATTTTGAGCAGGTCCTACTGCAGACATTCTGCAAGAAGCTGATGTTCCTCTTCTGTCAAATGAGAAATGTCAACAACAGATGCCAGAATATAATATTACTGAAAATATGATATGTGCAGGCTACGAAGAAGGAGGAATAGATACTTGTCAGGTAAATACGTAGAACTGCTCACTCTACATTATACAGCATTGCTATATAATGATTTCATTGTTTAACAATAATTTGGGAATAAAGAAATTATCAAGGCCCATTAATTTCACCTCTTCTTCTATAAAACTGTTACTTTTTGCCTATTTGCATAGTGCTCCTGAGTGGACTTCATCATTAGAGACAAAACTAATTTTTAAGAACAAGAATTACAAATCAGATGTCTTTAGAGAGAAGGCATATTTGAATGTGTGCAGCAGCCAGGTAAAATAGGAGTAGTGGACCTGGGTTGAGCCAGAGATGTGCACCTTAGTTAAAAGCATTCACTTTCAAATTTTCAATCTTTTTAAACCTTCTGAAAACTTAAACAAAACAGGCATGAGGAGGGCCAGTTTGAGCTATGGGATTCTAAATTTCGACTTTGAATTTAGAATATGGTCCAGGAATCTAGTAACCTGAAATAATTTCTAGGTGAAAAACAACCTGGATAGCCTAAGTAGAGCCAGTTTACAGCTAACCAAGTGGTAAGTAAATAAAGAACTTACTTGGTAGCCTGGCATAACCCTGGCTCTGGAACTTCTATACTAAAATTTTCATGTTATCTTTTACATTTTATTTTAGAGATGTAATAACATGAACTTGCTGCATGGGTAATTTCACTCCTGCAATAAATTTGAAACGTATAGCTTTTGTCCTGCATGACCATCAGAAAAGACTCTTACACACATACTGCCGTAATCGAAATAACATCTTACAACCTAGAAATAATGTAGTCAGCTATTAGCTCCATGAAATACACAT